CTGTCCCCACTCCCCGAACTCTGTCCCCACTCCCCTGTCCCCAGCTACAGAATTTTGTTCCACACGCCCCGAACTCTGTCCCCACTCCCCTGTCCCCAGCTACAGAATTTTGTTCCACACGCCCCGAACTCTGTCCCCACTCCCCTGTCCCCAGCTACAGAATTTTGTTCCACACGCCCCGAACTCTGTCCCCACTCCCCTGTCCCCAGCCACAGAATTCTGTTCCCACTCCCCTGTTCCCAGCTACAGAACTCTGTCCCTATTCCTGTCTCCACTGGCACCCTGTCCACAGCTGCAGAAACCTGTCCCCACTCGCACACTGTCCCCTGCTGCAGAATCCCGTCCTCTGCCCTCCCAGCACCCTGTTCTCTCTCCCCTGCCCTCAGCGGCAGAACTCTGTCCCCACAAAATGTATAATTATAAATGCTTCATTTTAGATTTAAATAGCACAAATAAAAAACAGACCATTTATTTCATAACTATAAACACGTGATTTTAATTTTATATATCGCATAATTTAAAAATAAACTGTTTATCAGAGTGTGTAAGTAAGGGCTGGGGATAGCAAATGATGGATAGGAGGAGAATAGAAAGGGGCGGGGCTTCAAGAAAGGGGCAGGGTGGTGCAGTAGATCTTCGCCTGTTTGGAGATTTAAAAAGTGATCTTGGGTGTAAAAAGGGTGGAGACCACAGCCTTACACCATAAAAGTCTGCCAGGCTTGCAGCTGAAACAAATAAAAACAAAGATCCATGGAAACAGCCCTTCCCCCACTCCATCCAATGAGACAAGGAGAAGCGTGCTGCTGACAGAGGCATTCATTGGTGAGATGTAGACAAGAGCAAGAAATCTGAAAGGATTCCACCAGCCAGCCTAGTCCCCCTAAATCTCCAGGAGCCCCCAGGCGGGTTATGAAAAAACAGTTGAACTTTTTTTGCAGTGATTTTTCGTTATCTTTTCCATTGTATTTGGCCCCACTGTTATATTTTAATAACTTATAGGCTACAAAAGGGGTCATTTAAAACATGCACTAACATATTCTGGGGAGCATACTACTACTACTATTTTGCACTTATATGTGTAAGCAGGGGCTGAACTGCTGCTTGCTATCAGCCAGCTAAAAGGAGGGGTGGGTGTGCCCCACTACAGTTGTTTAGCTCTGCAAGGTAATTAACCGTTAGCTGTTGATATGTAAATACAGCTCAGGAGAGAATCTGAGGTGTGGCTATGTAAATCCCATTCAGTCAGGGCTGATGGAGGGTCAGTGTTGGAATGGAATGTGGAGAATTGTAAATAATTTGGGACTGTTGTGGGGGGTCACTAATCATGCTACCCTTAAATGTGGAAACTGTAAAACATGCCACCAGTGCTTGCAGGAGAAACACAACCATCATGGTAAGAGGTCTCGGAGGAACAAGCCTCCTCCCTTCCAGAGTTAAGTGGACAGAGCTGGGGGGGAGAGTTAAAGGGCTTGAGTCAGCCTGC